AAGGGTTTATGTACAAAGCACGGGCAAACCCTTATGGGTTGTATCTCAAGACATGGAAAGAGATGTTTTTATGTCAGCAACAGAAGTCCAAGCTTATGGAATTGTTGATCTTGCAGCAGTTGAATGAAAATAAGATGGATTTTATACAAGTCCGCGATTTGAATCTCTAATTTCAAATCAAAACTGGTAAGAAAATCTTCTTACTTTAGCAAAAAATATACTAATATACGAGCTCATTAATAATTTGTCAAATGTAACTGAATAAACACTAATATTTCTAAAGCATCAAACCTTTACTTCTTTTTCTTCTATAATTCCTCAGAAACCATAAAACAGATAAACGCATAGTTTGTAAAGAATTCTCAAACAACTAAGCAGACTCACAATCATTAAGCAAACCAACAGACCCACAACTTATGGTCTAAAATAATTCAGCTATACCCGAATAAAGAATGCAAGGATGCCTGTTAGAACTTCTAACAAAGTATTCAGAGAACATTTTCAAATGTAGATGGAGGAGTTAAAGAAAATGATACAATATATGCAATATCAATTAAAAGAACAATAGGGATGAATCCTCGAAACCAGGAAAGTCTTGTTTTTATTTTGTTCTAATTTCTTCCAAGTGTTAAAAAACTCTTTACACTTTTCGACAAATAGAATCTATTTTGTTATTCTCAAGATGATCAAATGTGATCCTTACTGTCCAACGTTAGAAGCAAATTGTGGATACTTCAAATAGTTCAAAAAAAATCAATTTTTTTTTTCCAGGAAACGAGTCTAGTAAATTTTATATTTCGTTGAGTAATACATAACTAAATATTACTAAGGAAAACAACAAGTTAAAATATTGTTATGTCTAGTCCAATCTAGTTCTCTATACCACACGAGCTTAGCATCTTGTTAATCCATCATCTAAATGTATCCCTCTCTAGATATAATTTTAACGTTAACCAGATAATATATATTTAACAAATTAGGTATAAATACATTATTCCACTTCAAAAAAAATTACAGAAATACGGTAAATAACAACATAATAAACCCAGAATCTTTAAAAAAAAAAATCATCCATAAAAACTGCAGCTCACACCAAATTGAAGCGATAAAAAGAAAAAGAACTTACAGTAAAAAAGGTAAAGCCAAGATCCAAACAGCTTATCCCCAACAAACCAAGATCAGAGGCTCAGAATTTACCGCAGACAGTAAAACAAAAAGGCGCAACAGAGCAGATTTAGAGAGAGAAAATTAGAGAGCAGTGCAGAGTGGATGAGTCGATGAGAAGCTATATAGAGAATAGAATGACGGGAACGTCCCCATTGGTTCGTGTTTATTGTTTCACACGTGAGAACTGCACGCTTGGGAGTGTTGTGCATCATTTTACAATCTAATCATGCACTACTACACTACAGATTGTGCGTGCAATTAACGGCGTGGAGGTGTAATGGCTAATCATGAACTTTATTTATTTTTCTTCTTTTCCTTTTCCAAAAAATTTATCTAAATTCACCACTATTGTAAAAAAAGTTCATTTAAAACTTAATTAAAAATCGAACTCGTTCTTTATTGTTTGTTAAACCTAAACCAAAAGTTTTTTACATACTACTCCAATTTTAACGTGGACGATTCTATATGTACACATAATAATATATAAATCACAATATATCGAATCTCAATTCACTCAAACGTGACACCTCGGCATCACACGCTAACTTCATTTCTATCTTACCCATCGAACATCAAGGTATTGCATTTTGAATGTGTCAAAATTCAATGTATTGTGATTTGAATGAACGATACTATCACATGTACATATAATTATGACCGTCTCATTAAAGTTTTCTCTCCATTACCAGCTATAGACTCAATTGACTATTTACTTTTTCTTGTGAGTCTTTCTATATGTGACAATTTTGTTGA